GAGTGTGGTACACAGCAGCCGTCTCCCTCTTCTGTATATGCGTCGCGCCTCTCTTCTGGCTCCCACCTGTGAATGAACAGGAAGGCAACAATACCGTGCTCCCAAGATGTTGTGTGACCCTGTAGTTTGTATAGGGTTTACACAGTCAAATCATACCGCTCTCCTCCTGGCAACGACTACACTTAAATTTTTAAAATAATCCAATTAACTCTGAATGATATTGACTTGGTGGAACATAAAACAGTAACAGAGTAAAGTTAGAGAAGAGAGAATAAGGTCATCACTACTTTTAACTTGTCACAAAAAAAATCAACACTAATAGACAAAACACTAGCCTAAACTTAACTGTACCGTTCCTAATCTTAAGTACATAATTAACCGTTACTCCCACCCTTAACCTACAGCCACCTACGTGACCCAGAGTGTTTCCCTAGCTTCTCCACCGGTCAACAACTCAAAACTGTTGTCACCCCTGTGACCAGACTATCTAACGTCAAGCGTCCCCAACGTGAAGTCTACTGACATACTAAGCCTCCCCCTAGCATGCTGTACAAGACCAGTACACCTCGGGTTATTGCGTTCAAATGGAGAAAATAGTCGATCGCAATAATCTGAGCAGAACCACCACTTAATACTACTTAAGAACTACACCTGCCACTCCCTAACTGACCTGGCAACCAGCGGTGGCTGGGTGTCCCCCTGGGACATGCGAGGTCACCTGTCACACTCAGGTGAGCTCCACTACCAACACCGCTAAGTTCCCAAATCGCCAAATCTTATCACTAACATAAATCACTACACACGCAAGTTCTGGTGAACATTCCCTGAACTTCACAAAACTCACCAAATCACTAAACACAACACCAGAGAATCACTATCTCCTAACCTGAAAAAAAACTCGCTAAATCGCGAATATTAAACACCTGTCAAGATCTCTCTGATAGCGCCTGAGCGGCAAAAAGACACGTGGGACTGAACAATGTTAAATGAACACTACCATAAACAATGTTCAACACCGCTGCCAACATTGTAACGGGGGGTGAGGGAAATAGCTCTATCTTGTCCATTATTCCATCCCCCAGTTAACTAACGAGGCCGGGGGAAACAGCTCTCTCTAGTCCGTTATCCCGTCCCCAGTTAGCTAACTATTCTAGAGCACTCCCAGAGTTCCTAAGGCAACCTCTCTGGTTCAACACCTTGTAACCTAGGTATTCGACTACCTAGGTGCTAAGACTACAAGGCGCCGTCACTTGATCAGTTACCCGAAACTCTAGAGAGAACTCTAGAATACATAATCATTGCCACAAACGTATAAGAGAAAACGAAAGGAAAGAAATGAATAGTGAAGTAATTAGTGAGGGTTTGGGGTGAGAGAGGTGGGAGGAGCGAGGAGGGTCATTAGTTGAAAGTGAGAGTTTAGAGAGGGGTGGAGGGAGAGGTGTAGATAGGTAGAAGTAGAAGAGTAGATAGTAGAAGACGAAATGCTGCCACCATCCATTCATGATCATTACATACAAGACAAGGAATGGAACTTGTCTGTATCACAATATTCACCAAAGATGTTATCAAGAGATCATTATTAGTATGGTCCCATCTTTATCATGTACTCATTCTAAACCATGAAACCAGTAACCACAGAGGCTTTCTCACCTCAACTCAAAATCTCTAGGGAACAAAATAAAGTCCATTTAAATAATAAATTCAACAATTATATTTTTCATGATAAATATCATAACTTAAGCAATCCAATTAAAACGTTAAAGATTAATATTCAAAGTGAGTCATCCTCCAAGAATCTGAGAACACTACAACTGACTGCCCCTGATCACACAACACTTGTAAAACACGACCAAGTCACCTAAATGTTCACTCACCGAGGACTGAGTCTAAGTTGAATAGAGAGGGGGGGGGGAGTCTGCAATTTTCAGGCAGCGTCACCCCCCGTCTGGTGACGGCCTATCTCGACGGCTGTCCTCTGCTCTTTTCCGCTGGCTGGTCTCCTATTGCTTAATGCTCTCGAATCGATAGTTCTCCGAGTATATATTGGGGAGCCTAGTAACTAACTCCGCCCACAAGTAGATAGCCTCCGGCTCTCTACCAAGCCACTCCTTAAACGTCGGCATGTTTGAAGGCTACCAGGCTCCAATTAAGAGATTAGTAGAAGCAAGGTGAAATTCGCATGATCTGACCTCAGGTCACTTGAGGTCATTAACGCTTTGAGGTGTGAGATCTCAGGCCGACAACCTGGCGCCTTTCCCAATTCCTGTCTCTGACTCATATTCTATATATATTTTACATAAACTAAACCAAACACTTTTACAGTGTTACAGTAGCGAGTGGTTGAACCCCATGCACCGATACCATATGTAAGATAAGGATAGATTAGTGCATAGTATAGTGAGAGGAGAGCAGAGTTAGGAACATAATATCTGATTTCAGAGAGTTACCAACCGTTTTAGAGACATTCTTGGTTATGTGTTGTATGTGGGTGCTGAAGTTGAGTCTCTTGTCTATGTTTAAGCCAAGGAACTTTCCATCATTTTTATTGCTGATGTTGTGGGAAAAATGAGTTATGGGATTTATATTTGAGATTCAGATTCTTTATTCCGGTAAAGGTGATGAATAGAAATATAGAAATATATACATAATGATGGATTTAAAGATAGAGATAGTGCATACAATTCCTAAAGCCACTAGTACGCATAGCGTTTCGGGCAAGGTGAAGGGGGGAAAAAGCAATTAGACTAAAAGTTAATAGTAAATAACCTTAAATTATAAATTGCGTTGAAAAGGGGGGGAGGGAAGCGGGAACAAGGCAGAGAATAGCAGTTTATTTTAATTTATTTTCAATTTATTTAATAGCAATATATTTATTTAGTATATATTAATTTATATAGTTATTTGCATTTTACGTTAATTTATATTTTTCGATAGCAAACTGTATGATGATTAAAGTGAGCTGTATGATTTAAAATTACCACAAATCGCTTTCCTACACATTCTGGGGGGATGTTCCTATCATTCTGGGGGGAGTAAACATTCACTACAATATTTGACTACATATTAGTAACTTTATTTAAAAACAGCTTATCTGTATTGTAGTGGGCTTGGTCCACCAGTTATGAACACGGATGATCACACCAAATAATCGTGGCGGCGAGTGAGGCTAGTATAACCATATGTTACTGGGGTACCAGGTAGGTGCAATTCTACTTCTTCTTCCCCTTCAATTACACCTGTCAAAGGGCACTCACAATAATATAGTAGTAACCTAAATATGACAGCTGTATCTGGGAAAATGTAGTTATAATTTATTAGGTGAGGCTTAAGTAACAATCACCTCGTTTTGTGTCTCGTCTCGTGTCCTAACCGGCTTACCCTAGCTACCTAAGACATTTCTGGCCAAGAATGAAATAGCTAATAAACGGGTTTCGGAATGGACACTTCCCTTATTGTAGACGAAGATATTTTGTTGAAGGGATATTCCTGCGCGGGCCCTAAGCCTCTGGCTGGCCCACTAAGTGTTGCTTGTTTCTGTTTTACTTGGGTAGAGTATGAGTATTTATGACTCGTATGGTCGCTTCAGTAAGATTTTGTCCCATGTGTTTAACAACTTCTTCTGTGCTGTTGAATCTAAGTTGAAATCTTAATGGGTTTGTAACTGTGCACTGTGTTAGATAATGTTCCAGTGATCTATTGTGGTTGTAACTGTGCACTGTGTTAGATAATGTTCCAGTGGTCTGTTGTGGTTGTAACTGTGCACTGTGTTAGATAATGTTCCAGTGATTTATTGTGGTTGTAACTGTGCACTGTGTTAGATAATGTTCCAGTGGTCTGTCGTGCAAAGTTTGTGTTGATGACGAAATGTTATAAATCCCATAACACTGTATCGTAGGGTTATAATTGTGGAACTTGTTCTGTACCATGCGAGACTTATTGAGTTACGTTACTAAACAATGGCGACAACTACTGGCCCTCCTCCCACTGACGCATCAAGCGTTTTGTCCAGATGTCGTCAAGAAGCGAAAAAAGAGGCCTACATTTACTCTATTTTAGTACTGATAAATAAGTTGATTCAAGGGGAAATATTTTTAAGATGTTTACAGTCCAGAGACTGCTGTATTAAGAATAATTCACATTATTATGTTGGTGAATTTAATGGCGACATATGGCAATGATATCCCCGTTTTCTTCCGAGGAAAGTTTCACTGTGCCTCATTTTCAATGAGTGATTAAAGTACTATTTCTATGGTTAATTTATTACAAAACAGCAGCAATATTATCTGCATATTGTATTAAATGTTGATAAATGGTGTCGGGTTTTCCGACAGATGTTAACATTGTCTATCTGAAGCTGAATTGCATTTATTGATTTGCTTCCAAATAAGATGTAGTAGGTCTATTTTATGTTTAGTGTGAGTTTGTTGGATGACATCCATAAGTGGATTTTCTTTTAATTCATTATTTACAACATTATTTAATGTGTGTGGGCTGGGTTCTGAGTAGATGGTGGTAGTATCATCATTAAACAATATAGGTTTAAGAATGTTAGAGAAATTAGGGAGATTATTGATGTATATAAGAAATAGGAGAGGTCCTAGGATGATGCCCTGTGGCACTCCAACAGTTAATGGTAGAGTGGGAGAGATTATAGCATTGATGGCTACACAATGGTGTCTGTCACTAAGATAGGATCGGATATAGTTCAGGGCAATCTCGGATTTCATAATGGTGAGTTTAAGTAAGAGGTATTATGGTTAACAGTATCAAAGGCCTTTCTTAGGTCAATGAAATGTCCAATCGGAATCTCATTTTTGTCAAGGGGTGAGTAGATTATATCAAGCAGACTAATGATTGTACCGTTGGTACTCTTTTGGGAGCGGAAGCCAAACTGAGAGGGGCTCAGTATGTTGAATTTTACGAAGTAGGAGTAGAGCTGTTTGTAAATAATTTTTTCAAATATTTTTTGTTCCCAGGGATGGTTGGTGGTGCTGGTGGTGATGTTCACCTGTCTCCAGCTGTCAGAACAGACCCGTCCCAGACCCTCCGGGTATCAACAGAGGCCCAGGCCTCAATATCGCCCTCCGAACAGACCTCAGAGACCTCAGAAGGGAAGGCCACGTCCACATAAGCCGAGGCCCAGCTATGGTCCGCCTCCCAAGGCTCCAACATCCAGCTATGGCCCGCCCCCTAAGGCTCCGGCCTCCAGCTATGGTCCACCCAAAGCGCCAACATCCAGCTATGGCCCGCCTCCCAAGGCTCCGGCCTCCAGTTATGGCCCTCCACCGAAGGCTCCATCTACCGGGTATGGTCCGCCTAAAAAGGGCCCAACTTCAAGCTATGGACCACCACCCAAGGCACCATCTCCAAGCTATGGTCCACCATCCAAGGCCCCAAGTTCAAGTTATGGCCCTCCTCCAAAGGCTCCGAGCCCAAGTTATGGCCCTCCAAAGGCTCCTAGTCCAAGCTATGGCTCTCCAAAGGCTCCTAGTCCTAGCTATGGCCCTCCAAAGGCTCCTAGTCCTAGCTATGGCCCTCCAAAGGCTCCTAGTTCTAGCTATGGCTCTCCAAAGGCTCCTAGTCCAAGTTATGGCCCCCCTCCAAAGGCTCCAAGCACCAGCTATGGTCAAGCAGAAGAGCCCTCTTCAGGTTACGGCCCTCCGAAGACCTCTAGCGTCGTGGAGGAGTCTTCTGGAGGCTATGGCGGACCCCCCGCGGCCTCCAGCGGCAGCTACGAGCCTCCGTCCAACAGTATTGACAGTGGTTACGGCCCTCCGGAGGAGAGTTCCAGTTATGAGCCCGTGTTCCCTCCCTTCCCTTCCTTTGACGAGTTCGCAAGTTCCTTTGGTGGCCCTTCAGAGTTCTCTTCCCCACCAGCCCCATCATATTCTTCCCCACCAGCCCCATCATATTCCTCCCCGCCAGCACCAGCCCCATCATATTCCTCCCCGCCAGCCCCATCATATTCTTCCCCACCAGCCCCATCATATTCTTCCCCACCAGCCCCATCATATTCTTCCCCACCAGCCCCATCATATTCTTCCCCACCAGCCCCATCATATTCTTCCCCGCCAGCCCCATCATATTCTTCCCCACCAGCCCCATCATATTCTTCCCCGCCAGCCCCATCATATTCTTCCCCACCAGCCCCTTCATATTCTTCCCCACCAGCCCCAGCCCCATCATATTCCTCCCCGCCAGCCCCATCATATTCCTCCCCGCCAGCCCCAGCCCCATCATATTCCTCCCCGCCAGCCCCAGCCCCATCATATTCCTCCCCGCCAGCCCCAGCCCCATCATATTCCTCCCCGCCAGCACCAGCCCCATCATATTCCTCCCCGCCAGCCCCAGCCCCATCATATTCCTCCCCGCCAGCCCCATCATATTCCTCCCCGCCAGCCCCAGCCCCATCATATTCCTCCCCGCCAGCCCCATCATATTCCTCCCCGCCAGCACCAGCCCCATCATATTCCTCCCCGCCAGCCCCAGCCCCATCATATTCCTCCCCGCCAGCCCCAGCCCCATCATATTCCTCCCCGCCAGCCCCAGCCCCATCATATTCCTCCCCGCCAGCCCCAGCCCCATCATATTCCTCCCCGCCAGCCCCAGCCCCATCATATTCTTCCCCGCCAGCACCAGCCCCATCATATTCCTCCCCGCCAGCCCCAGCCCCATCATATTCCTCCCCGCCAGCTCCAGCACCATCATATTCCTCCCCGCCAGCACCAGCCCCATCATATTCCTCCCCGCCAGCCCCAGCCCCATCATATTCCTCCCCGCCAGCACCATCATATTCCTCCCCGCCAGCACCAGCACCATCATATTCCTCCCCGCCAGCTCCAGCCCCATCATATTCCTCCCCGCCAGCTCCAGCCCCATCATATTCCTCCCCGCCAGCCCCAGCCCCATCATATTCTTCCCCGCCAGCACCAGCCCCATCATATTCCTCCCCGCCAGACCCAGCCCCATCATATTCCTCCCCGCCAGCCCCAGCCCCATCATATTCCTCCCCGCCAGCACCAGCCCCATCATATTCCTCCCCGCCAGCCCCAGCCCCATCATATTCCTCCCCGCCAGCCCCCGTCGACCAGAGCTACATACCGCCAGAATCCCCACCATTGCCGCTTGCCACCGAGGAGGCAATTCCTGTTGATGTGTATGGCCCTTCACCCTCACCTGCTGCCCCATCACAGAGCTATGGGTCGCCCCTACCTCCGGTTTCTGCCCCATCACAAAGCTATGGAGCTTCACCAGCGCCAGCCCCATCACAAAGCTACGGGACTCCCTCAGCCCCAGCCCCATCACAAGGCTATGGAGGTCCCTCAGCCCCAGCCCCATCACAAAGCTATGGAGGTCCCCCAGCCCCATCACAAAGCTATGGAGGTCCCCCACCCCCATCACAAAGCTATGGAGGTCCACCAGCCCCAGCCCCATCACAAAGCTACGGGGCTCCCGCTGCACCAGCCCCATCACAAAGCTATGGAGGTCCCCCGGCCCCATCACAAAGCTATGGAGGTCCCCCGGCCCCATCACAAAGCTATGGAGGTCCCCCGGCCCCATCACAAAGCTATGGAGGTCCCCCGGCCCCATCACAAAGCTATGGAGGTCCTCCAGCCCCATCACAAAGCTATGGAGGTCCCCCGGCCCCATCACAAAGCTATGAAGGTCCCCCGGCCCCATCACAAAGCTATGAAGGTCCCCCGGCCCCATCACAAAGCTATGATGGTCCCCCGGCCCCATCACAAAGCTATGAAGGTCCCCCGGCCCCATCACAAAGCTATGAAGGTCCCCCGGCCCCATCACAAAGCTATGGAGGTCCCCCGGCCCCATCACAAAGCTATGAAGGTCCCCCGGCCCCATCACAAAGCTATGAAGGTCCCCCGGCCCCATCACAAAGCTATGAAGGTCCCCCGGCCCCATCACAAAGCTATGGAGGTCCCCCGGCCCCATCACAAAGCTATGGAGGTCCCCCGGCCCCATCACAAAGCTATGGAGGTCCCCCGGCCCCATCACACGAGTATGGGGCCCCCGCGGCGGCGCCGGCCACCTCCCAGTCAGAGGCCACAAACAGCTACGAAACTTTCTTTAAAGATGATTTTAATTTCCCGTCATTCGCTGAGCTGTTTGCCGACGACCAATGGGGTGACAAGGTCAACAATTAGGGCGGGAGGCGTGGAGAAATATGATTCTGTAAATAGTTCAATGTGTCAGGGGGACAGACAGCCAGGTAATATATATAATGTATGTTAGGATTTTACCGAAATACCTCCTCAGGGTCGCTTTACCAATCCCGCCCTCTCCCCATTACGGATAAAAACCCCACAACAAGCTGACTATCTACACACCTGGGTGCGAGTTTACTGCTAGGTGAACAGTTGCATTAGGTGATAGGAAATGTGTCCAACTATTTCTGTCCCGCCTGAGATTCGAACCCACAATTCTCAATTGTGCGTCGAGAGTTAACCCGACTGTACTACCGGAAATCCCGTTCCTCGGGAGAATTATAAATTCTTATAATGATTAAGAAAGTAAATATCTCTGGCTAATATTACTTATTAGAACAATAGGCTTTAATAATTTACTTAATTTTTTAGAGGAGTTTTAGTGTTTGATATTCCCTTCTATATGTATAAACATTTAAGAGTTAGACACATAATATATGAATTTCTTTACTTTAGTTATCCATATTTAAACTATTTTCTTTATCTTTTAAAAGAAAATAGAGATTTTCGGGGTGGCTGCAGATACCCATCTAAATGTCGATCTTAAATACACGGCACAGTGCAAGAATTAATGACTTAATATCGTCAGATCCAAGTCGCTAAAATTCAAGAGGGTTTATTTCAAATTTACAAATACTTTTCTTACAGTTGTGAGTTCTTTCGTTCTTGTACAGCCACTAGCACGTAAGGCGTTTCGGGCAGGTCCTGCATCCAAAATTTCCCCGGAGTACGACCCGTCAAATCGTTTAACAACCATGTACCCATTCTCTGCTGAGTGAACAGTTAAAGACTGGCGCCCAGTCAATTCTTCCCCGGCCAGGATATGAACCCAGACCAAATCCCTGGGCGAGTGTTTTACCACTGCGCCACTGGGAATGATTAATTCGTTTTCTCAACTAAAAAAATATTTGTTTATCTCCAGGCAAAAGGCTATCAAGCAGACTTCCTGTAATATCAAGGAAATTGCTCCTTGATGCAAATGAGATGGTTTAGGGTCCCAGTGGTAGAGTCTGGTTCGTTCTTGACTCACAATCGAGAATTCCGGGTTCGAATCCCTGGCGGGACAGAAATGCTCGGGCGCATTTCCTATCATCTAATACGTCTGTTCACTTGGACGGTCGGAGATTGAACGCCGACCTGCATGAAGCGAGTCCGTCACTACCGTTCAGCCCAAGTGGTTGGGTTGTGGGGTGGGGAGAACCTTCATACAAGCCTAACGTGTATGAATACACTCTGGTTGCCTGTCCCGTAACACAATGAATTAAATTAATATTGTTATGAAGATCTTGTAATAAGAAGTATACTTACTCTTATTTAACCGTAATAAGTAAGTAATCAACCACTAATAATACTTTGGTCTGGGACATTTTCCAGAAATTAACTTAGCGCTCAATGTATATGAACCCGGAGATTCATTGATACAATACTTAATAATAAATAATTACCTTTTTTGTACACAATGCTATTAAATGTTGTTAAATATTCGCTACCTAGAACAAGAAGTTCCAAGTAGCACGGGCTATGGTGAGCCCGCAGAGTTTTATATGAAGCAAAATTCATCGATAATTATTGTTTGCTTGGTCTGAGGAGCTGCTGGCAAGCTCTAACTTGTTAATGTTATTATTATTACATTAAAAATGATAATAACTCTGCCACGAAACATTCATTTTGCTTTTTATAGAATACTTTTTCTATATTTAAACATTTGACAAAATCATGAAAATAATTAATTCAAATTGCTTTTTTTTTATTTGTAACGAACACTGACATTTTCGGAATGGAATTTGGAACGTTGAGAATTTAATTGAAAACATTTGATATTATGTTTTATTGTTTCATTAATTTTATTGTATTCTTTGTTCATTGTTGACATTTTTTTCTATTATTCACTTCTGTATATAAACTACACATTTAGTCCTAATTAACTTTCTCTTGCGTTAGTGTGATGTTAATTAACTCTGTTCGGATCACAGGTGATATTTCTTCATTGTTATTTCATACAGTTTACTAACAAGATTCTGGGGTGATGTTAATGTACCCCAGGTGTGTAGTGTGATGTTAATGGGCCCCAGGTGTGTATTGTGATGTTGATGGGCCCCAGGTGTGTAGTGTGATGTTAATGGGCCCCAGGTGTGTAGTGTGATGTTAATGAACACCAGGTGTGTAGTGCGATGTTAATGGGCCCCAGGTGTGTAGTGCGATGTTAATGAACACCAGGTGTGTATTGTGATGTTATTGAACACCTGGTGTGTAGTGTGTGATGTTAATGAACACCAGGTGTGTATTGTGATGTTAATGGGCCCCCAGGTGTGTAGTGTGATGTTAATGAACACCAGGTGTGTATTGTGATGTTAATGGGCCCCAGGTGTGTAGGTAGTGTGATGTTAATGGACCCAGGTGTGTAGGTAGTGTGATGTTAATGTACACCAGGTGTGTAGTGTGATGTTAATGAACACCAGGTGTGTATTGTGATGTTAATGGGCCCAGGTGTGTAGGTAGTGTGATGTTAATGAACACCAGGTGTGTAGTGTGATGTTAGTGGGCCCCCAGGTGTGTAGAGTGATGTTAATGAGCACCAGGTGTGTAATGTGATGTTAAGGAACACCAGGTGTGTAGTGGAATGTTTTCTAATATGAATAAAACGATTCTTTAATATTGCATTTTGTGTGTCCTAGCTTTTTTATTATTAAATTTGTTGTAATTATGAGCAATCCAAAACCAAATTTGACCTGAGGTGGGTATGGATTATCATTGCGTGTCAATGGGTAATCCCTGCGTGGTTATGAATAATCCTAATGTGACTTCAGATGATTCTAATGTGAACATATAATCCTAGAATGGTTATGAGTAATCCTAGATTGACTTCGCTTCAACATAGCGTGACAATGGGTAATGCTAGCTACAATTAAGTCAAATTATATGTAGCATAGAGATAGTGGATTGGGTCGACTGCATCTTCCTTGACATTCAGAAAGCATTCGACAAAGTTCCAGATCGGAGTACCGATAAAACTATTAAGTTGGCTGAGGAAATCCCTTATAATCCCCAATTTGAAATGGGTTAATAAGGAGACATGAAGCCAATGGGGGATAGGAACTAACTCCTTCAAACTACTATTTTTCACTTTTCCACTCAAATGACTAGATCAAGAAAAACTGTATTATCAAGTTAACAGCCTAATAATGCAGAGGAAGCAGGGTCTATTACTCATATCATTCAGTCAGTCATCATACTCTTAAGACATTGTAAAGTTGCCTCACAAGACCTCAGGAGGGAGGCACCTTAGATCCCTTCCACTGGAACAAAAAGCATTCGATCCTGTTCTCTATTTCCAGCATGAGATTCTGATCCAGTCTGCCAAACACTCTCCTCTTTCATCACTCTGAGATGGACTCCTGCCTATCGCTCCATAACACCTCCAGACTCTTAACTCTCTACCTATAACACCTGCTCAACACCCATCAGGTTAACCCCTTGACCCACTAGCGGACTTATCAGACTCTGTTGAACAGATGTTCATCACTGATGACAAAAAACCTTGAGTGAGGTTTATCTGAGACTTAGTATATAACCTGAGCCTTAATATATAATAAAGCTTATCAACTGATCAACCAGGCTGTTAGACGCGGCTGCTCGCAGCCTGACGTATGAGTCACAGCCTGGTTAATCAGGTATCCTTTGGAGGATAACCTATCCTATAATTATCCTAACTGCTAATAATCCTAACGAGGCAATTGGTGTAGTAAATACCTAAAATACACATGAAAACTGAAGGAGCACTTTACCCTTATCCCTGCAGTTACCAGCCACAAAATGTTGAGGTCTTTCCTACTGAGGTCCGGGTCGTGGTGCAACAGTCCACTTCACACTAACTAAAAGTAAGTTCAACAATTACTAAGTGAAGAATGGCTCCTCCTTCAACTCAACAGTATCCTGGGACCCTCCCATTATTTAGGCACAGCCAACCATTTTAAAACTAGGCCTGGGTACTGGCACTCTAGCCTATGGGCAGCCAGGCACCCCCCCCCCCCACCTTATTTGGGGTCTCCAACCAATCGGCGACCTCCAACCGAACCTGTTATCTCCAGTCAATGACCGTCCAGATTGTCGGAAAGCCCGACACCATTTAATAACATTCAACAGGCAGATAATATTGCTGCTGTTGTATACACAAGTTAACCCATAGAAAATGTAGCTTGTAGTGGAATTTTCCGTCAATAGAAAACGGGATATCATTGCCACATACTATTATAAATTCACCAGCTATTGTGTTGGGAATTATTCTTAAATACATTAGTCTTTGGACTTTTACCATCATAAAAACATCTCATTTGATTTAACTTAATTATCAGTATCAAAATAAAGTAAATGTGACCCTTCTATCAGTTACTGACATCTCTACAAAGTGAGGGAGGCGTCAGTGAGGAGGAAGAGGTCAGCCATTGTTGTTAAGACCAGAGGCGCAGTGGAGCAAATTCGGCTCCTATAATTTCTCATGGACGAAGTGTGAAGGAGATCAGAGTAATGGTCTTCCATCATCAACACGCTGTCAACATAATCAAGGAAAGTATCCTACCGAAACCCGTTTATCTAATCATTTTTGGCCATTAATGTTAGGTAGATATTGGGCGAACAGGTTAGAATGCGAACCCGCCTCATACTAAAGGTAATTAAGCCTTGGTCCTTATTATCTATTATTCAGTGTTTTCTCTGATATAGCTGTCATATATTAGTATTCCGGCCTTACAGCTAGTACCCTTTGACAGGAACAAGAAGAGGAAGCAAGACTTGATACATCAGTTACTATGGGTGATGGAAATTAAGCTACCCTCACACGAGGATAATTTGGTGTTTACATCCTAGTTATACCTGGTGGACTAAGCCTGCTGTACAATAAGATAAGGAACCTCCTCAATGTATATCAATATATGTAGTTAATA